TTACTATATATTAAGATTATAAGCTTTAGTTTTAATAAGTTAAAGCTAATAAAGCTAATTAATAAGTATAATAAGCTTTATAAGGGTAAAAAGAGTACTTATTATAAAATAAATAAATAAATAAGTAATTAATAAATACTTAAGAGGTTTATAATAGCTTTAGTAATATATCTTAAACTATTAATTATTAAATTAGATAATATAAGTATTTTAATAGTATTAAAGTAAAAATTTATATTATTATAACTAAGTAAAAAGAGCCTACTTTTATACCCTTAATATACCCCCTTAGGGGGTATATATAGATAGTAATTATTAATAGAAACTTAGCTAGTCTAATAGGGCTAGCGCTAAGTAGATACTAATTTAATAATAACCTTAAAGTCTATACCTAACTATATACTAACTACTCTATAGATCTCTCTAAATATAACTATATAGCTAATAAGTTAAAAGAGACCTATAAATATATTATTAGTTTAATCTCTTAAGCTTACTTTAAGGCTTATTATTTACTTTATAACTCCCTTACTACTTAGCTATTACTCTTAAATAAGTATATAGCTCTCTTAATCTCTAAGTAATAGCTTATTATTATTATAGCTTATAATAAGCTTATTATTAAAGCTTAAAGTACTATATAATAAGATATATCTTAATTTAAGTAGTTCTTATATAAATATAAAAGTATTTATTTATTATTATTATATATACCTAACTATAGGCTATTTATTATAAGCTTATAGTTCCTTAAACTAGCTAATATCCTATATAGTTCTCCCCTCTAATTCTAAATAGATTTATACTTATTATTATATTAAGATAATATAAAAATAGACTATTTTAACCCTTATAAAATACTTACTACTATATAAAATATTATTCCTTATTATACTCTACTTTATACTATTAATATAAAGCGCTATTAAGCCTTAAGCTCTAGTAAAGAGTTCCCTATATATTTAGCTTATAGCTACTACTATAAACTTATTAAGTATTATTATATTATAAGAGGCTTAAAAGGCTAAAAGGATAAATAAGAGGTTTATATATATATTAAGTATAAATATAAAACTAACTTAGAGCTAAATTATAAGATTACTAAACTTTATAATAAGTAGTCTATTAGGTTTATACTCTATAATAGTATAAGAAACCTTATAGTAATAAGTAGAATAGGTCTATTAGCCTCCTCTCTATAATATAAAATAGAGCTATTAGCTTACTTAAAAAGTATTAAATAAGTACTTATAATTATAAAATGCTTAAGAGACTATTAAAATAAGCCTTATAAATAGTACTACTCTTTTCTATTTATAAAGAGGTTTTAATAAGGGTAATAAGAGCTATAGAGGCTTATTAATATACCTAAAGAGGCCTATATAATAGACTTAAAGCCTATAAATAGTCTATAAAGGCTAAAGTATTAGCTAATATATTATTTATCTATTAAATTACTTATTATTTTATTAAGTTTTTAAATAATTAAAAACTCTATAGTTTTAAGTATATTTTATATAATTTATAAATAGTAATAGATATATTAAAAATAGCTATTTAAGCATATTTAAAGGGGTATATTAAATTAGTACCTACTTAGTGCTAGCTCTATTAAACTAGCTAAGTTTCTATTAATAATTACTACTTATATATACCCCTTAAGGGGTATACTAAAGGTATAAAAAGTAAGCTCTTTTTGTTTAGTTATAATAATATAAATTTTTTACCTTAATACTACTAAAGTGCTAACTATACTTAATTTAATAATAGTTTTTAGTAAGACTTTAAGCTATTACTCTAGCCTTCCTTTATATTTTATACCCCTTTCCCCCTCTTTTTAACCCTTTAACCTATTTATTTACTACTTTAGTAGTAATAGCTTTATTAATACTATTAAGCTCCTTAATATTAATATATCCTAAATAAATAATATTTATAATATTAATAACCTTCTTAAAGTACTTAAAGTACTATTTAGTAATAATATTATCTATATACTTAAAGTCTAAAGACTTTAAGAGCTTTTTATAGATATCTTTAAATTATTTTTTAAAATATTTAAGAGATAAAATAATACCTTTAAAAATAAAAATAAAAACTATAATATAATAGAGAACTACCTTTTAGATATTAATATTCTATTAATTAATAAAATTAAAATAAATTTACTATATAAATATCTTAATTTTAAGCTTATACTTTATAGTAATAACTATAATATTAATATTAGCTAAAAGTATTAATAACTATTTAATAAATATTATTCTAGAGATAAAAGAAATATAGAGTTAAAGTTAAGATATAAATAATTTATAGTTTCCTCCTCTATTTATATCTTATTATAAAGACTTCTAAAGTTCTCTATAAACTCTAATAGAAGTCTATTAAGGTTATTATAGCTTATAAACTTATAAAGATAGAAAGTAACTATAGCTCTATAGGTATTTAGATATTTATAAGGTATTAATAGATATTAATTTTATATTATTATATATTATTAAAGTATATTACCCCCTTATATATATAAGTAGCTAGGTTATTAAGGCGGAAAGGTATAGGGGTTAGTATTATAGCCTTCTATTATCTAGATTAGCTGTGGACCGGGGTTTAAGTCCCCGCTAACGTATTTCTTTTGCCTTTTTAAAGCCATCGTGAGTGATCTTTAGCTTAGCTCTCACTTGCACTCATTTTTGATTGAAAACCAATGTCGTTCCGCGGGGGGTTGTGAAAATTTGGCGATGCATAAAAGTTAGTGCACTGCTATTTGTGAATGAGGAGCGCGGATAAAATGGGTTGTATACGGCTGACAAACACGTCCTACTGCAGCCACTCGGCTTCCTCTCACCTCTCGGACCTCTCGCCTAGGACGTCGCTGCAACAACACCAGACGTTCGAGACGCAGCTCTGCCGACACTCAGCCCACAGCGTCGGTTAACACAGTATGTGTGGCATGCGAGCTGACATTCACAGACTGTCATAGCATGGAAGCGTCCTGTCCTTCTGGATGTCAGCTGTGGAATCTCCTGCTTTGCCAAACAGGAGGACGTACGCTGGGTGATGTCACGGCAGGCGATTTCCCCAAAGCGCAAGCTTCCACTGTGCAGGCTCCAGCATTCTGAACCTCTGTCACTGATGAGGTACGAACTCAACTGATTTTAGGAGTCTTCTTCCATACCTTATTCCAAATGATGTTTAATGCGAAGAATGGATGAACATGAATCCTATTGGGAAGGATCATCAGAACCTTTTACATCTGATTTTCTTACTCCGAAGGCCAAAGGATTTAGAGTCATGTTTTGCGCGAGTTCAATGATCACAGCGGATCAGCACAACTTCTTTCCCTGCATCTCTGCTTATCTCAATCCGCGCGGGCTTTGGCACCGCTCAGAAGCGCAAGTGCGCTTAACATACTCCTCCATAGGTAGTCTAGCTATTCACTAGCTAGCTCCTTCCTAACCTTGATTGTCGGGCTACACTCAAAGTCAATCTCGACTGCCTTTCCCTCTTCCAGCAAGTTTCTCAGACTGTCAGGATGTAACCCGTTTGTTTTATCCAACTTCAACACCGCGCGTTGGCATGCATGAATTTGCTCAAACCGGCGTCGGTCATCTCCCCCGAGACCGGTCCTCCTCGCACCCTTCCAAGATGGAAAAGTCTTGCAGGCGTTGCCTAATTGCCACTCTGCTGCGTAGAGCATCTCGACTTCAGTATAATCAATCATCCGAGATACCATGATTGCTTCGTACAAGACACCGCCACTCGGAAGTTAGTCTCGGTTCCGTTTGTATAGCCGTCTCTCACGACAATGCCCGAAGGTGGGGTCTTTCATCTCATATCCAACTCCTTTCAAGAACCACTTCAAGTTTCGAAGCATCTCACAAACACTTGCCTTGGGAAAATCGTCATGTCGGGTGTCCGAGAGAATTTTTTTCTAGCCTGCGTTTCCTCCCAGGCAGAGATGCGATCAAAGCTTCGGAGTTTGTCTCGATGCCTCTCCTGATGGCTCCTGCCAAGACAACACCAAGCTGCTACTGTGTAGGACGGCGTTGAACGATGTTTCTACTCCTCCTGCGCCTCACCTACCCACTGACCCTACGGCCTTGGCCTTCGTTCTGCAGTCAGATGCAGAAAATGCGCTTGCTGCTGCTGTCTTACGACCTTGTCCTGCAGATATCCCAACCAAGCGCCATGTGCAAACGCGCAACTTGCAGCAAAAATTGCCAGGCTTTCTTGACAGAACACCGACAATTGGGACGTTTGGTTTCTGCCTTATCTGCCGTCATGCACCATTTACTGCCAATCCTCCAAGCCACAAATTCTCAGCAATCACGTCCAAAGGGAAGCCAGAGTCATATCCTGTACGAAGGCTTGCCAAGCACAGGTGGTCTGTAGAGGCCCGTTCCCTTTCTTACCAAGGCCCCAAGCCTCCCGACTTGACGACGCCGGGTCCCACCGCCGACCAGGTGGATTCATTCTCACCATCCTGCCCAATACGGTAGTCCGGCTGAGAGGAAGAAAGGACCGCATCTTAATGCGAGCTGAGGGGTGTCGCGGTAACCCAGCCGTTCGTTTTGACAGCGGGCATCCTATTCGTCAACCGTTATGAAGACTTCCTAATTCGGACATTGTCATAGTTCGCCTTGCGGTGGTAGCCATTCGATCCCGGACTGCCACGCTCTCGGCAGGGTCCAGATGTTGGCCCATCCCGGCTTCAGCTCCGTCACAGTCTTGGGTGCTGCCGTCCCTGCAGAACACCGGCAGGCCGCAACGACCAAGCCACCTGCGCGATGACAGGAAGTTTCAGGATCAGCGTCGAGCCAACTGCTCACAGCAGCCTGGACCAAGACGGTGCTAATCTGAGGGATCCGAACGATGGCAAGATATAACGTCCTAGTGTTCACCTTCTCTTCGGAGAGAAAGGCTCGAATCGCAACGACTTGATCACGCAGAAACACCACAAACCATTCTACGTTCTGCCTTCCTACTTGCCTACCGCAACGATGGCGCCCGCAATGACAGCTTCGTCGTTCAGCTCCGGCCGACCGACGTTCCCTCTACAACTCTCGCCTCGTGCTTTGAAGGCGTCTTTCAGCCAGACCGAAGTCTTGTCCCCGAAAGCTTTGGCGAAGCAGGAGAAGGATCTTTGCCTCCCGGCGCAAGATAACCTCTATATCAACAAGTCAGACCAACAATTCTGGGCCATCCGCTGCGCCGAATCTCTCGATAGCCTCATGAAGGCCGCCGGCTCTTACACTCCCGCTCAGCGTGCCGCACATTTGAGACTTCTTTCGGAACTGGTTATCCCGTCTCTCGGCCCGCATCCCACCAACGCCCCAACAAAACCCTTGTTGACGGCCAATGGCTCCCCGTTTGAGCCGTCATGGAACATCACCGACTCCGGCTCCTCTTCCATTCGTTTCTCCTTTGAGCCTCTCGGTCGGCACGGCGGAACCCCGTCGGACCCTTTCGCCCAGAAAATGATTCCTGCTCTCCTTCCAGCCCTACAAATGTTTGGTCACGGAGTCGATACGCGGTGGTTCGAGCAATTTGCTTCGGCCCTATTCCTTGACGAATTCGAGACCAAAGTTGCCCTCGAGAAACTCGGCCCCGATCACCGCGCGCCGACCGCCTTCCTAGCTTTCGACCTTGACGGCGCCAAGGCTGTATTCAAGACGTACTTCTTTCCCGTCCTCAAGCACATCGCCACCGGCGCCTCCACAGAATCCATCACCTTCAACGCCATCCGCTCTCTCTCCCCCGGCGGTGATCGCCTAGCTCCTGCCGTCAATGCCACCGAGGAATACTTCAAGAACGCTCCGTTCCCCATCCCCGTCGAGATGATTGCTCTGGACTGCATTGATCCCGCCGCCGGCGCCCGCGCTAAGGTCTACGCACGCACACAATCCAACGCCTTCGACGTCGTCCGCCAGGTTGTCACTCTCGGAGGTCAGGTCAAGGACGAGACCACACTGGAGGGTCTCGAGGCCATGCGTAGCATCTGGCACTTGCTCCACAACGAAGCGGAACCTTACGCCGACGACTTCAACAAACAGCCCAAGGTCATGGAGACCCTTCACAAGGGTATCTGTTACGGTTTTGAGTTGAAGCCCGGCTCCCAATGGCCCGAGGTCAAGTCGTACGTCCCGCTCTGGCAGTACGCCGACAACGACGCCGTAATCGCTGCCAACCTCGCCAAGGCTTTCAAGTCGAGAGGATGGCCGGTTGCCGAGCGTTACGAGACGGACCTGCCCAAGTGCTTGTGAGTGTTCCCCGAATCCTTCTCCCACGTGCGCCGTGCTGACTGCCGCAATAGCCCCCGTTCGGACCTGAACCGTGCCACCGGCACCCACTCCTACATCTCCTTCGCCTTCTCCAAGAAGAAGGGCGCCTACCTGACCATGTACTACTCCATCAAGCCCAGTGACTCCATCGTGGCTTTCTAATCAGCTTGAATGACGGCGCGGATGGTGTTGGGCGATGAGGTTATGGATGGCAGTTCTTGTTCTATGATTTAGGGATGTTTTGCTTTTAGGCAGTTCGGGGGCTCATTGGTTTGGAGCAGTTATCCCCGGCATCACTCTTTTAACGTATTTATGGGTCATGTCTGGCGTTTCACTGATGGATTGATAAGGGAGGATTTGACGACAATTACGACCTCATCAAATTGAAAGCATAGCATAGTGTATGCATCTCACACCAAACATGTTTTCGGTCAGCTTTTGCTTCGCGTTCTCAGCCTGCCAATAGCTCAGCTCGTCTTTCAAGTGCTGTTTGAATGAAACGAGTCCTTACGACCTGCATATTTAAACCGTCGTCCGGAGCAGATCGTTGAACAGGGCAACAGAACATGTATTCCTGTTCCCAGCTTGGACATTTCCATTCTCAACGGACACACGGACATCGCAATGCCATTCCGGGAGTGACAATCACACACAAGCCGACAGATTGGACTAGACTCTTCCTGTTGTCAGCAACATGTTCCCATTCTGCAAGTACTCGCTGCTGTATACGCACCGGGAGGACAAAAGAGGCAGAGAGATGTGCTGATACTTAGCTCGCGACTGTTCTTGTGCAACGAATATAAATGTTTGGCCGGTCGACTACGCGTGGAAGCGTGCAAGATGATTGTCGAATCTGTCGAGTGATAATGCTTTGTCATGTTGCTGAAGAAGACAAGAACAGTTGATTGTGGTTAACTTTTTTATGCTTCCAACGGATCATCTGCGCTTGTCAGGAGTGATGAGTTTGTATATATCGGCGGCCGTTGGCAAACGGATCAAGGAAACGGCAGTTTCGGGTGTCTGGACTCTCGCATCAGTCCCATGTGATGTCGAGAAGAAGACGAAAGCAGACACGTAGATGGCTGCCGACTACCATGAGCAGCGGAGGCTGACTTAACCTGTGGCAAACACCGAACACCTTCGTCTCTCGTCCCTTCCGTCCATCATCTTCTCTGATGTATTTGATGAATGTTCGGTCAGAGTCATCACGACCATTCTCCGTAGTCTTTTCAGGAGTCGTGGAATTGATGGTTGGGAGTCGACAGGCACTATACCAAAGGTACCAGCCTTACATATATGGCATATCATCCTCTGTCCGGAGCATGGATTTATGCAACATTGGCCTGTTCGTTGGGCCGATAGACTTCCAAACACTTGTGCACTTATATAGCGAAGAATTCCTTTCAAGGTATGGTGTCGCAACACCTACGGCTCTAGGCGCGTCTTCGAGGTGCGCTTCGAATCAGCCACGTCGATGCCCTCGGTCGACAGCATATTTTAACCGTCTGAGCAAACATCCTCGTCTCACTCAATGAATCTTGTCGTGTTCGTTGAATATTGTTTGCCATGCCGCGGCCAAAAAAGACGTAGCTTGCCTGACGACATCAGTCAAGCGTGATCCACGAGGTCAGGTTCTCTCAGGTGAGCGTAAGCCATGATATGATACTTCGACGACCTTTGTTTGGATGGATATTTGGTACTTATTGGGTATACTCCGAGAGTACCAGAGATGAAAGAAACTGGCATGTCGATCGACGATAGCCATCTCCCTCAACGGCGTCTCTTGGCTCGGCGCAACTCCTCAGAAACCTACCATCAGAATAGACCCTGGCTGTTCGCTTCCCCGTTGGATCAATCCCTACATGGAAACCCGAGGACTTGACGGAAGACCCATTCCTGGACTGGGCCAGCCCTCTCTTATACTCACATCCGATATCACATCATACACATCACGACGCGGGTGAGAGTGGGCTTGCTTCAGGTGCACCATCACACATGATCCCAACCGTCCCTTCTAACCTCCCGCTTGATTCGAACGTTCTGGAGCAGGTGGAAGAAGTCCCCTTCTCGGAGTATATAAGAGCTATGTAAACCATCTAGTGGTTGTAGCGCTTCACCTGTTTTGATCTGGTCATTAGACACCCAAAATGATGGGCGCAGTTGCATGGAATCTCCACTTCATCGCGCAACCAAGTAAATCCTCCGAGGTAAAGTCCTCATGCAGAGCTTCTTCGAGAGCACTCAGTCAATTCATCGCTTTTGGGTCGTCTTTTTGGTATAACTCTTGTTGTATCCAGCCCTAATACTAAACCATAGATGGGCGACGCCAGAGGATGAGAGGTTGACTGAGGATGGGCAGCGTGTTCGGTACATCGCACTTTACGTGTCGATCTGAGTTCATGTTCGGATCTTTGAGATAGTAAGGAGACAATCGGGAACCAACCAGTGATGCTCCTATTTGCTCCGTGCAGAAGAATCCTGTCCAGGTTCGGAATGCTTCTTTTATGCGGGACATCCTCCCCAGGGCCCATTAGCCTCAGAGACGCCGGGTAGGCCGACGACAACTTCGCGGATCACCGATACATCCACGTCTTCCAGTATAAATGGACTAACTAGCCCCATTCAGTGGGAGACTCTAACGCTGTATGGCGAGTCTGTAGTTTCCTGTTCTTGATTTGCGAATGAAGCAGAGGTGACCTACCCTACGAGGTCAAACTCCTTTGTGAACTCCCAACGACATCTCCCCAGTCTACTCTGCACAAGTACCTCCATGTTCCTTTCCAGATACGTCAACACCAGAACTGACGAACGTGGGACGATATCGCAGTATCATTGCTCTCGCATACCCTGCTCCGTCCCGGTGACATGATGAGCGAAGGAGTCTGGTACTTTATTGTCCTCTTCAAGCTTTCACCCGGAGGTTAATCAGCAGTCATGCTTTTGGCGCTTGGGAACTATCATAATCCCATTCGCCCTTCATAAATACCATAAAGCGAAGCACGTCTCTCCGAACCAGCGTGAGGACCTTCATCGCAGCTCCTCTCTATGAACCCCCGCACATCGACACCCGCGATCCAGATAACACCAATACTGACTGGGAAACCGGCTGGCGAGTATAAAACAAGTGAGGCCGGGCATGAGGTATCATTCCCCGCCCAAACAGCGTCACTTAGGCGCGACAGGAGCGGCGCTGATCGGCCTGGGGATTTGGTTGCTTTCGTATATCGGGATCGCAATCACATTGAATCATGAGACCACGTCAAGAAACAATCCTCTTCCCTCGCCCTACCAACTTGACATACACTTATTCCAACTCAATCAACAAACGAAGACGAGGAGGAACAGAGAGATAAACACCACGGAGATCCTTCATCCAGCAATACCAGACCAGACTCACTGCCTATACCCCTGAGACTCACACCGGGTAAGACTTGCAAGATTCTCAACCACCGGCATCTGACAAAGAACGCGTCCAACACATCGAAGCTGACGCAAAGATCCAGAAGCCGAGTAGACGCACAAAAAGTATATCTTTACACCCCTTCTCGTCCAATGTCAGAGCAACACCCACGATCCAAACGGACTACGGATACGCCGCGAACGTCTTCCCGGACTACATAAACCCAATCCGTCATAGCCCTGCGGTAAGTCTAGACACGGAGACATGGATTGCAACGGTTACCTGATGCTGGTCCTTTATGTCTGCCTGGGTGGCTTTATTCCAACTATCTCAGCTCACCTCAGGACGAAAGGAAACCCTCCATCAGCGAGGCCTTTACTCAAACCGAAAACACCAAGACATCACCATCCATCATCTCCACCGTCAGAGTATTCATCGCCAACAACCACAACTCAAAACACACAAATCCCAGACAAAAACCACAACGCAGATCCGGAGTAACACGCAACGCGAAGGGACCTGCGTTCCTCGCTGCAGCACCTCAATGTCAGAAGAGATCACCAGCTGACAAGGCATATGATGGCGTGTGGTTTCAGACGTGTTGGTGGTCGACCGGGAGGAGTTTTATACTCCACGACGCCAGGCACCTCACCACGAGAACGACTGGAGTCCTCTCTCGCATCCAACGCAAGGAACGACGTGGACGGTTCCCACTGGCTCCCGGCGCACGACCAAACTCGAAATGAGAACATCCCCCCCAAAGACAAACCGCCCACGAATAATTCTATAAAAGCAACATCAAGACGAAATCATTCTTTCTGCAGCAATCACAATCCTGGTAGGGACCTTTACCTTTGCGAGGGTTTCCCGAAGCATGACGTGATCGACCTTCGGACCCGACGAGAATCCGGTCTTCAAAGACGAGAATTTGACCGCCTGACTCTCTGCCGTGTCTACTCGGCGCTCCGCGTCTCCCGTCATTCTTGGTGTGTTCGCGGGATATGCGAGTAGTGACGAGGGATGAACGCTCTTAGATGCCGTTCACTCGGTGCCTTACGGCTCAAGCCCCACGACGTCCGGATTAGCCATGGTAGCACTACTAAGGGCAGTCGTCGACCAGTACACGAAATTCGAGCATTGTTTTATCGCTAACGTTCCGCATCAAGGCCATGCGCGGACACTTCAAATACCCCGCGACTCGAACGCACATGGGTTCCAATTCTCGCTAGAAAACATCAATTGAAGGAATGTGGGTATTTTCAGAGCCTATCGGTACAAACTCCATCGCTGTCGCTGTTGATGTCTGAAGTGAGAGTGCTCTCTGAAAACAGCATCCAGCAGACGGCCATCTCCAAAATCTCGGTACAACATCCGAAAATATTGTCATTTTCGATGAGCAGTATCCATCCTTCCCCCTCCTTGTAGCCATTTCCCGTGTCCATCCCAGGTTCCGCTAAACGCCATTTATGAGCTGTGTGGTTTACTCTCTTGTCCAATCTTTGTGCGGTAATTCGGCTTCTCGATTTTCAACCCCGTACAGCAAAAGCAAGTAAAAAGCAGATAAAATGAAAAGTGGTATCATCAGTTCGGTTTCGCACACTTGGTTTTCTTGGTTCCGTCATGTTCGACGACACCTTAGACCTGAGCAGTCTCGGTCTTGGTCGCTTCCTCCACATCGTCCTTGTAGGCGGGAGGCGCCTCCTGGGTCTCGGCAGTCATCAGACCATCCTTCTCTTCAGCAGCGGCAGCCTCGCGGTGCGAAGCCCTGCGAGCGCGGCGACGGCAGTGGCGGCGGGCGAAGGGAGGCTGGCGGCGGACAAACACACGCCAGAGGCAGACGACGAAGGTGCCGACCATCATGCCAATGCTTCAATTCGTGTCAGCGAGTCTTGAACGACGAGAAAAGAGGGGTCGCGTGACCCCAGACGGCGGGGGTCGCGGCATGGGGGTGAAACACTTACATGCTAACGCTGACGCCAGCAACGATGCCGATGAGGACGGGAAGGAGAATGTGCGAGGTGATGTTCTTGGCGAGCTGACCCCAAGTGTGGTGGTGCTGTCTGAAGTGGCCCTTGTTGGCGTGGTGGCCGTGGTGGCCATGCTTTCCGTGACGGCCCTGGCCATGCATGCCGTGCTTGCGACCACCGCAGTGCTTTCCGCGCATGTTCTTGAGAATGGCGGCGCGCCACTTGCAGTAGAGAGTGGTGCAAGAGTCGGCGGGGTTCTTGGAGTCGTCCTCCTTGGGAGACGGGACGGAGGTCTCGGTGGTCTCGACGTTGGCGATCATGAGCTTGCCGGCGGGGGACTTGATCAGCTTGACGCTGACGTTGGGAACGTCGCTGACGAAGCTGTTGCCGACCTCGATGATCTGGAGGTCGATCTCGAGGAGCTCGAGCTGCTGGTCGTTGTCCTTGGCGACGGGACGGACGCCCAGGCTGTAGCCCAGCTGGGGGGTGTTGGGGTCCGTCTTGCGTGGGTGCTTGGTGGCAGCCTCGGTGAAGGCGGGAATCTGGGGAGCCCGGAGGGCGGAGTACCAGGAGGCGGCCTTGGGGTAGAGCTCGAAGTTGTTGACGAGGAGATGGTCGAGGCCGTTGGAGTCGGATTCGACGGAGAAGGTAAGCTCGAGGTGGTTCTCGATGTTGGTCATTGTGTGGTAGCGGCCATCATGGTGCTTCATCGTCAGGGGGCATCCGGGGCAGTCGAGCTTGACGAGCTTGTTGAGGATGCCCGTCTCGGAGGTGGTCTGCTCGAAGGGAAGGGAGTTGACGATGTCGTTGTCGGCATCGGAAATCTCGGGGACGACGACGAAGGCTTGCGCGGCCGTAAACGCCAGGCCGGCAGCGGCGAGGGATTTCAAATGCATTTTGGTGTGGTTATGTTTCTCCTCAAGTTGTTGATGATGAGGAAAGTGTCGAAAAGTCCTGCTTCGTTTCGTTGAATAAAAAATTCGTTCACAAAAGGAAGGGCTTCGTTGAAGTGGTCGTTGTATGAGGTAGGAAAGTTTAAGATGTAGAGCAGCTGGAGTGGGAGGAGGGAATGGATGACATGACTGCCGCACGTATCAGTGGGTGGAGTTACGTGTATTCGTACGCACCTGGCACCTCCCGTCAGCACTCTACTGCGGTAGCACCGAAGGGACCGACGGGCAGGTGCCTCCTCGCACCAAACACCAAGCAGGCAGGGACCTGCCCAAAAGATGGAGATCAGGTGCAAAGTGGCGTTAGGGAGAGGGGACTGGCACACGCTAGAGACGGGGATAGAGGCCCGGAGGGCCAGAGACGGGGTGACTGGCCAGTCACGACCAGCGGCCTTTGGCTGGCGAAGCCCTGCGCAGACCGCTGGTGGGTGACTTTGTCGGAACCTGCGGAGAGGGATGGGGTCCCCTAACCTTCCCTTGCCTTCTGTCGACGGGAAGTACCTTTTTTCTTCCTGCCTTAGGACACTCCTACCTTAGGTGGTTAGAGCCTCAGGCACAAGATCAGCCCGATTATGTCATTCGCTCGCCTCCCTGCCGCCCGAGAAGCAACACGAAGGGTCGATCGGTCAGTGTCTGCGCTCGCTCACCTTGACCTTCACCTGTGTCATCCTGCACATCCAGCCACTCACAGTCCTCCGTCGGACCCATGACGTGGCCCACCTCACTCACCTCACCTCTGGCTGGCATCTTTTCCCTCACCTTCACACATCGTCCCAGCCCATTACGAGGCAATCGTCATGGGCAATGGGCAATGGGCATGAGCGCGTCCGTGCTGACTGCAGGGCAACTTCCGCGCGCTTGGGAAAATCGACCATCCTCTGTCATCCCTCTCACAGAAGCGACAATGTCCTAAAGCGCAGCTCCCTTGCGCAAAACCTTAGGTGTCCATTCTTTTTGACAGGCGCAGAAATGTCCAGGGCTGCGGAGGTATGACGTCTATGGCGAATGACTTCGACATTCTTTCCCTTCTTCTTTTCTCTTCCCTAAGATGACTGAAGAAGCGCGAAAGGGAAAAGTAATCGGCTGTGCTTGCATGCTTGCTTCTCATCTATCGAGCAACTCGGTCAGCCAGTAAGGGGGTTCCGTCCCGTCTGAAACCTCGTCGCCGTATCATCGTGATACAGCCACGATAGATCAGAAATCCATTCCTCTCATAGAGTTCCCCTCCCCCGGCGTAGCAGACCACCGCAAAGGTATCTCCAGTGACATCCAAACACGAAAAGAAAATCAGGGGTCATCTCTTTCGTCAGAGCTGCGTCCCGAGACTCTGGGTCCCCTTGGAAAAAAGCATGGGATGTTGCTGCACCCTGATTTTCCGGACGTCTGGAATCTCTGTTTTCCGTCCCGGTCTTCTGGAATCAATAATGCATACTGTTGTGCCGGCCACAGTCTCTTGTTGATTGAAAATTCCCCCATGCATCCCATCCATAAAGCACGCCGTAGTAGGAGCATCCACGTGGTCGATTTTCTCCCGCTTTTATGCTTATGCTTCTTCGGAGCCGGCATCATGCCGTGTTGAAAATGTGGCTGAACGCGAAATACGAGGACGACACCCATTCACGTTGCAGCTGGGTCGCCCGCATTAGATGAGGTCGCGCGCTAACTGCGCCTATGCGACTGTCACCTTGTTTATGCAGATTTGAGATGTTGTCAGATAAGGCGTCGCTGCGCTGCCCTTCGATATATCGCAAAGCGTCACCGAAGCAAGCACGCCTCCTCAGCTGCTCGACCGACGACTGGTTTGGGTAGTTTTGTGGCTTTTGTCTCACATACACATAATCCTATCGCAGCTCGCCTCAACCCCACGAGGTGCAGCAAATTCCCAGCGATGTAATCATCGTGATGGTTCATCCGCCCATATAATGGTGTTGCCGTCCTCCCTCCATGGCGGCTGCGATATACGCTGAAGCTCGCCTCCGCCTTCATCAAAATCGCCCGACCATTAGCTGATGTATTGAAGAGCTGGGACCCATGACGGAATCTGTGCAGCAAATCGCACTTCGGCCGAAGCCGACAAACTCGTCGCCTTCGACGCCTCTCAGCCGTTTGTTTAAGTGTTCGAGGACAGTCCCGCTGTCCAAGTCCGAATATCACGATTCGTCTCGAGGAGCCCTTGACGAGCACCTGGAAATTCAGCCGCCCCCTGCGTACCCAGGCGACGCGACTTCACGTCCGCCATTCACCGAACCCAAACCGACCCTCGAAGACTCCAGCTCGGATTTGCAGCCGTCAAGAGCATCGCCGTCGACAAACGATCCGCAACCAACTGCGCCTGATATCAAGCTCGATATCGAAGATCCGTCTAAGCCTGTAGTCATACCACGGCTCAACCCAGGCAGCACATTCCCCTTTGCGAGAGCATGGGCGCCCGAGCTGGAACGGCACGACATCCCGCAGTCAGACTGGCTGGGCTTCCTCGACCGCCTCAACATCCTGAGCTCGCCGCACCCGGGCATCACGGCCGCCCAGGTCCTCGGGGTCGGACTGGCCTTTGCCCCGTTCGAAGGCGCCGACGGCCTCGCGTTCCTCATCGAACTGGGCGCCGCCGGGTTGGCGGCGCACATGGCCAAGACGAAGTGCCGCGACTTTCTCGCGCAGATGAACCGAGACTACTTCGGCCCTCGCGGCCTTCACGTCCGCATCGTGGATGGGAAAGAGCTGCGCAGGAATCTCGGCTTGGAGACGAAGGATCCCATGATGGCGCCGCTCGGCGAAGAAACACTCGACATGACGACTCAGGAGCGTTGTCTGGCTTACCTGAACGGCCGGGTCTGCGAACTCGACTTCGACGTTCCAGATCCGGACCCGCAAACCAAAGCACTTGCTAGACTCGCTGCCTGGCGGGTGAAACTGCACGTAAAGGACACCGACAAGAAAGCTACAAAAGCGCGTAGGAAGGCTTGGAAGAGGTTCCAGAAGGGGAAGAAGCTGAAGGAATGCAGGGAGGAAAAGTCTCGAGTCAAGCGCATCTCGTGGGTGCTCTTGCAGAGTATCGAGGACTTTGAAAGGGACAAAATACTGGTAGAGGAGGAGAAGAAAGTCCGGAAGCAGAGCACGAGCGAGCGACGTGGACTGCTGTCAGCTCGGACTCTGAGAAACATCAAGTTGCTTCGGTGACGACGACGTCTGAATAACTGGCGCAGGAGCAGATGTCCTAATCTCATCTCCAAAACTTGACCTGAAATAAGCTAGGAGTTGCGCGAATTATTAAAATCCTTCGTTCCCAGTGACTTCTCGGCATGGGCAAGGTGTGCCTTGTCGTATGATGGTCAGCCGGTTGACCCACGTGAAGGAACAACCTGCATCAAGTCATTCTACCGTTGAAGTGTCAACTTTTAGGAATGTTAATTGGCGTTTGTCCAGAGGCTCTCGTTATTGTGAGTTGCGGATGTTGAAGACACGGCAAATCTCAAAAGATTTGGCAGAGTTCCGATCGGGAACGGCCCCTAAACTCAATGCCAACAAGATCGACTGAGTTACTACTTCTAATGGCAACCGAACTTCTCGTTTTCTCCATGCAAACCGATCCCTCTTTGAGATCGACGCCCCGCCGGAATGCTCGGGGAGGTCGTTGGCGATTTTCGGGCCGGAAAGTGGATGCCCATGTTGACCACTAGTCCGGAATCCGGAATAGATGTTCGTCACACAAGGCTTCGCGAATGCTCTGATGTCAATGGATGGGGTTTCCGAGATTAAGATAACAGCAAACATGATCGACTTGGAGCGTGTTCCTGGCCCCAAGCATATCGGACCTTGTCGTCATCCGGACTAAGATGACAGGCAGCAATACGTTTCTTGAAGTTTTGATATATCGCGTCACGGATAAATGGCACTTGTCCACCGCACAATTTGATAATGCACGTCCACACCGGAGACTAGTGTAGATGGTGCCGTGGGGCCGAGTGGTTTGACGTTGATGAGCTTTCGCGGGAGCTAGTGCGGTGCCAATGAGAGCAAAGCTCACAAATTGTCGTTGGAGACCGTCAAACTCAAATGCTTTTTGGCTCCGCGGCGCGCCTCCAATGTCGCCACAACAGATGCTAAACAAGCCGTAGTTCGTCCCTGGCACTTTGGCTCGGAGATGACATGCCGGCGACGAGATAGACATGACCGAATATCAGGTCAAAATCGGTGAGCGAATCACTGAGGCCTGGAGACCGGGCGAATGCAGGCGCAAGACTTGTTTATGCTGGAAGGCGGCATACCCGCGTAGCCGTCGGCGCCTTGTTTCGTTTCGTCCCATCATCCACGTGTGGAGGACGAAGACGGCAATTCAAATTGGGCGGAGACGAGAGAGCGGAAAGTGGTCATTGAGTTTTGTCTGTTGCGGTTATGCAAAGCGAGAATCTGTCCTATTCGAAGGCGCGGCGGCTTCTGGGACAGGGCATGGACCATTCTGAGGGAGCTCGATCCATGCCGGTCTATTTTGTCCAGACAATGCCATCCTGAGAAGGGAGAAGCTTTGCCCATGCAGCAGCAGCAGCAGCAGCAGCAGCAGCAGCCTTACCGTGGTGTCGAGCGTGCTGAAGTACACGTCCCAGCGCGAGAGACGTTGTCAAGATCGACGAGATCGAAGACGTGACAATGCTCTCGACCGATCTTTGGCTAGTCCGTCCACTGGCATCTCAGGATCAACCCAAGGGCTTCGTAGTCGAGCGACGTTTGTCTAACAAGTGTGTCGTCGTCGTTCCTGATAAAAGAAGAAGGGTCCACGTGACAGACAAGGGGCTTCTCTTGGAGGCGCGGCGCCTGATACAGCCAATTGTAACGAATTGAGAGGCGACAGGGCGGACACCTCTGTGAAGTTAGAGAGTGCAGGGCATGGCCCTTGGGCCCTGTTCCATGCGTGCAGCTTGCGTCTGGCAGCTGAAACGCGTCTAGAACTCGGTCTGCGGGTGCAGAGAATAAAAAGATGCGTCTGCATCTGCAGAGTACAGACTGCGGTGGACAGTCGGCGGTGGGCGGCGGTGGACGGTGAGGTGGGCACCGCCTTGGGAGATGCTCCCGCGTGGCCTGCCAACCCGCTGTGCCCCCTCACGGCTTGCGCCCGTCTTGGGTCTGGTCGCTACCACTGCAACGCAACGGTTGTTGGGTGGAGGCGGCCCAGTCGTAGTTTTGCGGGATACGCGGGAAAGAATGCAAGCGAAGATATTCTGCAGTGCCTCTCGGGCCAAGAAGGACAACGTCGATGGCTGTCCGGGTGCGCAGAGACGTCGCAAAGTCAATGGCGCGCAACGACATGTTCCTGGTGTTCCTGATGTTCCTGGCGTTCCTGCAGGCGGGATGATTGCAGGAACTCTCGATTCTGCAAACCGCAGGCAGACCCCCGATTCTGCAAACCGCAGGCAGACCCCCGCTCAAATGCCTTTAAGGTAATGCTGATCAGCGTTCTGAGGCTGGGGTTGAAGGGATCCGAGGCGACTGGTCATAAAGGCAGAGCAACGAATTCTGTGTCTCCCGCTCTTCGCGCTCGCTTGGATCCGGCCGAGGATTCTGTAGCGGACTCGCGATGTGAGTTTGTATCTTGCGGCCAATTGTCGACCAAGACTCGCGAATTGGACAGCGGCGTCTCTGTCATGGGCGGCGCAGTTGATCAAATGCCTCGGAGAACTGCCGACTGGCAGGTGTTTTGAAGGCGGGAACTGGGTCAGATGTCTTCGGGGTATTTTCCTCTCATTTCTTTGTGGCAGACATCAGCTCAAGGAACGAGACGTTTCAATTCGTCCCGTGTTGAGGTTGAGGTGGTGGACGGCAACAAGTCGGGGTTGACGATGGTGGTGTTGGCGTAAGGTACAAGTAGAGGGTACTGTATTGTTTCCTCATGGATAGGCAGTGCTGGTATCCGTATGGTAGGTAGTATTGGTTGGGTGGCCGCATCGATGGTTGGCTGCCGCGGCCCCCAATCCGGTCCCATTAAGGTACCGGACTAGAGACATTCCAGGACGAACAGGATGGTGGGAAATGTCTTGGTCTGGAGAGGTGCTCGGTGATGACGGCAACCTCAACTTCGGGGTCGCAGTTTGGCTGATGGCCGATTCTTGATAGTTCAGTGTCGGGGCTTGCGTGTGGTGCGTCGTCGCAGGTTGGCATTAGATGTGGTTTCTTATTGCCGCTGCATATTGAGACACTGACTTGACCAGCAGGTCTGACAGGTGCAGAGAAGACGGCGAGAAAGGCTGGGCATGCCGCAGCTTGCAGGAAGAAAAAGATTCCGTCCGGAGAGAGGAGACTCGGAGAGGAGTCGACTGGAGGGCAGTGGTTGGAGGCGTGCGTCGGGGACGTTTCTTATCCGGCCGGTTGCCCTTGTCCTATCTGCGACCGGTGGCATCTTTTCCATTCTTCCAGATGGTGACCTTGTTCTTCGTAAAAGAGATGTTCCTTGTCTTTTGGTGTTGAGTGGTGGTGAAATTCAACTTGGAAGGCGTGGAACATCGAAGACCCAAGTTCTGTCAGCAATCAGTGGAGCAAGAGCGACCCCCCCAGATCGGGCCATCTGGACCGCAGTTGCAGGGGCTGGAGGGGTTCTGAAGGTGTGTGCCTGCGCTAGTGTTTCCGCTTAAACCTCTTACGCTCGTCATTGGCCCACTCTTAGGTGAAGAGACCCACCGAAGACTCCAACGGACAGGGGTCTGACTGAGAGGAGAACCCCTCGAGCGGGGCATCGGGGGCAGGAGCGTTGGACTAGCGCTGAAGCAGGCAATAGATACCATAGTAAGCCACCCCCGGCCCCCTGTCGACTGCCTTTTTGCCGGGAACACTCGTGTTGGCGTCAGCCACAGCCCTCCTGGTGAACCGTGCCTTCCTTCCATCTGCCAGTTTTGGTGCTCGACCTCCTAAAAAATTGCAGCCAGGGGCAACTGCAACTGCAAGTGCAAGTGCAAGTCGTCACACAACCATATGCTCCTTCCTACTCCTAAAGTACTCCTTTTTACGCAGTCGTCTAACGATAACGATATGGCAAGTGCCTGACTATTGAATTGAGTGACGCCTCACGCTTACCAAACTCATACTGGACTCATCTCCGGAAACAAGCTGACTGAGACTTCTCAACGGGCTTTTGACTCTCCCAAGTCAGGTCAAGTTGCTGCACTTTGGAGGCGTTGGTGTCACGGATAGCCCCCCGTTGTCATTTCCTTGCAACGGCTCCATCTTTTGCGGTCTTGTCGTTTGCGCAATCCCGTCCCAGTCTCCACGTCCAGCATCTTCATTCTTAGATAGCATCCATCTCCCAATACTATGTACAACTCCTGAACACCACCAGAACACTGCAGAAAAAAGGTCTGTCTGCCGTGCAAAGATACACACCCCCCTGCCCCCTGGTGGAGCAGCGTGCTTCTTCTTCTGTTCATGAATGGGCTGTCACTCAGGCCAGAACACACCCCAATATCCAAGTCCACCCCCGTCTCCAGATTCAGACCTGGCCGAACCCTCCCAAGCCCATTCTGGCTCTGCCACCAGACTTGGCCGTCCGCTTTTTGACTCCGGGGATCCCTTTCACACACTCTCTCGTCTTCTCCTCTCCCGCGAGACTCCTCTTCTCGACTTCTCTCCCGAGTCCCGTCCCGTCCTCTTCTCATCCCGTCGTCCATCATTCGCAGGCCCGGTTGCGAGCGAGCGAGCGAGCGAGCACGAACGACAGCGACAGTCGCTCGCACACCAAAGTCGAGCCTGCAGACTCGTTGCTGTAACACTGTCAGATCCGCTCGTCCAAGACTATCGATCACCTCCCCGATAATCTCTCTGTGTGTCGTCGTCGCCTACGGATACCACTCTCGCACAACACCCACAGACCCGGACACCCAACGCAACACGCGCACTCACGCACACACACACACCCACCGGGACCTCTTTTCACTTCTCGACTTTCTTTTTTCTTACTGTTCCATCGCCTCGGTCGACAGCTGTTGGGCCAACACTTACTTTTTCCTGCTGCCAGTCGGGAAATTCAAAAATCACGCTACTGCGTTGTCTTGAAGACAGCCGTAACCTACAGACACGATCCCCTTAAACAACAACACCCGTCCTTTCCAGCGCAAGACGTCCAGGAGGAAACAACCCAAACCGCGTTATTATCATTTGCTCCCGTTGCCTCGGGCTCATCTTGATTCTCGTTCCGTTCAAACAACCCATCCAGACCTCCCCGCGCGGCCTCACCTGTCAGTTCGCACATCATATCGCCATCGAATCCACCACGGGCCTTCTTCTTCGCCTGATTGTCTCTTGATCTTCAAATCTTCAGACGTCAATCACAAGGTTCCCCCAGAGAGCCTCCTGCCTCCCCGACGCCGGACACACCCTGCCCGTTCCGCCCGTCTGAAACACTCTCAGTCCCTCTTACCAGCACAGCAAGACCCAGTGTGTGTCGTGCACCCATCCGCGCCCGTCTCACCACCTGATTTCTCTTCGTCCCGCCTTCGAACAGAGTTGTACTCTGTAATCATCGTTGCCGCGGCGCTGACAACTGTCGACACAAGACCGCCGCACCTGCTGGACGCTGTTCCCGAGGTCGATGCCATCATCTTGCGTTCATCAGAGTTCTCTCCCGTCTGCTGTTGCCAGCCGGCGTCTCTCGTTGCCCTCGACATCGACAAATTCTCTCAGGCCGACGAATCACGTTCGATAAAGGCCAAGTCTCGAAACACCAACTGTACGTGATCCCCTTTGGGACTCCCCCTACCCGTGGCTCGGCTGTTCAGGTCTTCCTTGCTTTGAGGGGTGTGGCCGACCTGAAGCGACCCTCCCGAACCGCCGGGAACCTCCTGCTTCTTGTAACTGGGCAGTGTGTGTGTGCCTCGCGGCGTGGTGTGCGTTGTTCGCTGCAGGCAGGCAGACAGTACATGCCTCACCGTCCTCGCCTCCTCTTTCTGTCCTCAATTTCTTCATACCAACTTTCCGGCCCAGTGCTGACCTGGACTTCCACGATAGATCGTCGGCGCCTCATTTTCCATTCTCTACTACCCTAATTAATTCATTCAGCATTTGACTCTTTTTTCTGCGGTCACGCACGCGTACCCAGCTCATTCCTTCGCCGCCTTTCCTTACTTCCATTCGCCACCCCTCGGACTGCATCTCGGCATCGTCTAGACTTTCGATTCTTTTCTTCTAATAGGCTTGGTTCCTGTTTTCAACCTCGTGCAGTTCCACCGCCTCGCAATAGAGTTGAGCGACCTTCGTTTGATATACCCACCTCCCGCCTGTCGTTTTCGTGCGAATCTGCGTCGAGTACCTCCAGCAATCACGCAGCGTTACTCGAACTTATACGACCGTCTCGCCGGGCAAACTCGAAAGCGCCGCCGCATCAACCAAGCATCGGAGACCCGCAGGAACCACCGTCATAGAATCTGCGCCTAGGTGATACCGCAGCGAATGGTTTAATTGTCGTGTCTGGACGCGCAGACACTCGGAAAGGAAAACAGGCTGGAAACCGAGACTCTGATGTCGCTGGACCGAATTCACGAGTACTAAATGAGTCAACCCCAATATGGAAGAGATATGGATCGACCACCAATTGCAGGATCCGTCAAGCGGGCGAGAGAACGGGCTCAGGCTGGATTTCCGAGGGAACAGTACGCACCGGCGTCCGCAACACGATTCCCAATAATGGAAGAAGACCTCGACAGCCCCACGGATGTCTCACCACCACCGAGCCGTCAGAACCCCGATCCCGCCCCATCACGAATCCCGAGGCCGTTGCCTCCGGCCGCCCTCCAGAACAAAGATGGGGGCATCGGCATGGCCATTTCGCGGCCGACGCAGATTCCGCAATGGCCGCTACCCGGGCCCATCGCGAACCCGTCCCCGGAACCGTACCAACCTCCCCCAGGACGAGGACCACCACCACAACGGCCTCCTCGCCCGAGTCGAGTGCCTTCCATTCTCGACAGCTCACGAGTGCAGGATCACACTCCTGTCTTCCAATACACACCGCAAATCGGAAGAGAATCGACGTTCAGCCAAGATCCCTCATCCGCACCACTAACCCCGTCGTCAAGACATACGCAGTCTTCTCTGTCGTCTGTTGGATCTATTCCGGATTTCCCACTACCAGCGGCCGCACCTCCCGCCCCCATGCCGCCACCACCTCCGCCAGTAGCTCTGCCACGGCGAAGCGTTACTCTCGGGCCGCCACCTTCGTCTCGTCGCGGCGACTCCTCCTTTTATTCAAATGCTTCATTCGTGTCCCCGATTCCCGAGGAAAGCCCCCGGACACGGTCACATACTTCTTTTGCTTCCAGCGCTGCTATGCCAGAGAGCTGGGGTAGTCAGTCACCAGGATTCAGCCCAGGATACCCAGACGAGTTTTACGAGGACGATGCGTATTCCACCGAAGACGATGAAAACAGCCACACGAGCAGAGCAAGTACGTCACAATATGGCGATGTGGGAGACGAAAGCAAGCTGGTGAGGAGTGCCAGCGTCGGTAAGATGCAAAAGCCGTCAATCGTGATGAACCGAGCCCCTAGTGGTGGAGATCCTGTACCACAGGAGGTATTCAGACCGACGCCGTCACCACTGCAAAACCAACTCCCGCACAGTCCCTTCGACAACGGCACGGGCTATCTTGAAGGATCGAGTTCCTCAGGGACCGTTCCTACGATGGCAGCTACAGCAACCACTCCGTCACTAACAGCTGATGCCATGCTGGGTGCTTTTGCTGCTGCGAGCTCGACAGATCCCGTTGAGATGAGGAAAGTCACACCATCGCCGCGGCCATACAACCGCTTGTCGGCAATCCGTCGCCCTCCGAAACTGGGTCTCGATATGAATTCCGTTAGAGAAATGGAGTCGAGGGGCAGTATGACCAGCTTACCGGACTTGATTAAACGCGCCACTCGCCTAGCCGCCCTGATTGATCGAGGACGTAGACCGGCTAGCAGGTTCGACATGGACGGAGAATGGCCAGATGAGAAGGCTTTCGGGCGTGAGGGGGAGGTTCAAATGGCCAACATGTCGGGTAAGTCACATATTCTGCAACCTATGGGCAAAGACTTACACCATCTAGCTGCCGAGAAACATCAATCCGGTCTGTCTGATATGTTGGCCGCGTTTCCACCACCGGCAACGACCCCCAACCCGCCCCAACGCGGCAGCTGGTTCAGACGGAACTCCAATGGCTCATGGCCTCTGGCACCGGGGAGCCGTGGTGGCACCCCTCAACCCATCACTCGTGTGATGGCGGCCAGATCGTCACCGTTGGCCAGACTCGAGTCCAACAGTGACGAAGGATCAATCAAGCGGAAGAGGAAATGCTGCGGTCTCCCTCTCTGGGCTTTCATTCTCATTGTTCTTATTGTCTTGGGCATCATCGCTGCTGCCATCATTGTTCCTCTGGAGTTCTTCGTCTTCCGCAAAAATCGGACAGGCAGTACCCCTACCACGGAGCCTGCGTTAGGCCAGTGCCAAAACCAGCTCAAGTGCGAGAACGGCGGCACCAACGTCATTTCGCAAAACGTTTGCTCATGCATTTGCACAAACGGATTTACCGGCCAGACGTGCACCGTGGCCGGAGCTACGGGATGCACAACGACCAATCTCACCGGAACTTCCTCTAATATCAATAATGTCACCCTCGGCCAGGCGATCCCCCGTCTCCTCCAGCAGTCACAGACCAACTTTACCGTTCCGCTCGATGGGACTGACATTCTGGCCAAGTTCAACACGGAAAGCCTGTCGTGCATCGCGCAGAACTCGCTTGTCACTTTTGACGGGCGCTCCATGCGCCAGGGCACCACGACTGGAGCCGATGTGGTCGCTAACGTGGGCGTGAACGCCGACAGCGTCCCCATCCAAATCATCACGCTTCTACCCGGCCAAGCGACGACAATCACCTTCAACTTCATCGAGACAGGAGCCGTCATTGGTCCATCTGGCAATATCGTTGGAGGATTCACAACTCTCACAGGCCCGTTTCGCGTTACCACCATCCACGCTTCAAGCTCAACGATGTGGGCCACCATTCCCATGATGCCTACGCCAACGCCGCCGACATCGATTTCAACGGTACCGATTACCATGCCCACCATCCCTCCAGCGACGTCTGTACCGCCAACGTCAACAATGACCACGCCGACAACGACACAGGGCCCTCTTGTTCCGTCGGTCCCTGTATCTCCGTCTCCGTCACCAACTCCCATGTTCACCGTCACGGAAGAGACGCTTGACTTTGCCAGAGTTTCGGTTCTGCTCATTCTGCAGCGGCAGAGTCTGATGGCAGCTACGACGGCGCAAACGGTACTCCAGCGATTCTTCACGCAAGCTGGTCAGGGTACTCGAATGGCGAACGGCGGTGTTCCCATCAGCCAAGCGCTGAACGTGACACTCGGTGGAGGCAACTCGGTGGACTTGGTTCACTTCCTCATCACTATTCCCGGCGGCGTGGTGGGCAGCAACAGCACAACCACCGCATCAGCATCAGGTGTTGTGGCTGCGGAAGGTAGTTAATAATGGTCGTCAACGGCGTGTCGAGGAGTGAAGAGAGAAGAAGAAAAAAAACTTGTATATAGTCATGCTTAATGAGGTGATGAGCTGTTTCTCTATGATGAGAGCAGCATAGAAGGGAAAGTCATGTATAGGCACGCCGCCCGACCATTTTGTACAAAACTTAGTGTGTTTCATTTCATTTTCTAGCGGAGGATATTTGGGCACGCATAGCGTTCTCGTTGTGTACGATCAGTCAAGAGTCAGCGAGGGCGTTGAGACTAACCTACCTATGAGGAAAGGTCGAGAGGGAGCTGTGCAGATACCATTGATATCAAATCAAAAGACATAATTAGGTCTCTACAATACTTCTTCGCATCGTTCTGTTTACATGTTGCCTCACGTGAAATGGACTGGAGATTCGATCCGGAATGGGAATCACTGGTTCTCTCAAGGTCACGTCGATGCAGTTGGCTATGGGGAGTCTAGGAGTACGAAGGAGGATGGAGGAATTCTAGGTGGTCGTTTTCTCTTGGATGGTCTGGCCGAAGACGATACAGTCGGGTCTTTGGACAGTGCGGTAATCGACCCAGCTGGCGATTGCGACTGATTTCTGGAGTAGATTTTTCTGTTACCTGTCAGATTTTCTCCAGGCTCCTTAGGGCGCGGCGCGTTGTTCCCGCTCCATAAATGAAGCCTTCGGCTGGCGACTCATTCGATTGGACGGTGTGGGATTTCATGTTAATTAGGGGTATAATTTCTATGTGACGGAGGCGAATTGCGCTCTTCTTGGGAATTTTTCGAATAGAAGAGCAGAAGAACAAAAACTTGGCTTTTTTATTAGTGTATTCTTTTTTCTGTGGGTTCATACATGTTAAAGATAGAAACTGGAGAGAGAGAGTTGTGGTCCGGTTCATATGGGGGGAATGTGGGATATGGATACTTATGCGATGAGGTAAGGCCGATTGAGAGTCAGGACTCAGGAGAGTCAATCAGCTCAGTTGAATGTGTTGGGTGTGAGAATGACGTAGGTATTCGAAAGTACGAGTCCCTCGTTTCCTTCCAAGCCCAAGATCGTGGAGGAGAGGACCGCTCCGTCTTTTTTATTGCAGATTGGCGGATGGACGGGTTAAGGTTGGAGATGTAAATGAGGCCAAGTCGAGGGGAAGTTGCGATGTGCGGGAGCGGTAAAGGGCGCTAGGACTGATCCGGGACAGCGCGATGGGGGACGTTAAAGTGTGAGTTGCGGGCGGGAATGAAAGCGCGTTGTTCTCGTGTTTTTTTCGTTCGTTTGGCTTGATCGAGGCTGTTTGCGATTGTGCTGTTGCTTCTTTCTGTTTGGTATTGAGACGAGATGCCTGCGAACCTTGGGCCTTCTTTGCACTGCAGTATTGGTCCCTCGATCGATGGATGGACTCGCTCGCTTGCCCAGGCAGTCCCACCAGACGGACGAACGGCTTCCACTTCACGTCTGCCGGACAGGGTCGTGGCACTTGGTCCCAGCCAGCCCGGTTTATCTCCTGCCAGGGGGCGAGGGAGGAGGACAGGAACACAGCCCCTCTAGCGCGTGGGAGTGAGAGTGAGAAGTGTGAGTGACTTTTGGACTTTTGGCGGTTGGCCCCCCCCTTTCTAGGCGCATGTGTCGCCCAGCAAGGGTACCTGCATGCCTCCATTATTTTTTCCCACTTGCATCCCCCTGCCGGGGGACCCCGTTCGCCATCGCCTTTCGCAATAAGAATGGGGCATCGTCCGGCAGGGATGTCTGAGTCTGACGGGAGGTGTTGAAGCTGAACTGGACAGGACGGGAGACGGGCGGGTGAGGATGAAGTTTTTTTGTGGGAGGACCGGACTAGAAGCTGTCAATCAGTGTCATCGGATGTGCTTGAAACCCGTCAAAAACCATATGCCACGCGTGTCGTCCGAACCCTGACAGTAGTGAGTGTGGTGACTTCTGGAGTAGGAAGGTTTCTGTGCGGGAATAAGAGAACTCGATCAGCCAGCCAGGCCTCCTGGCCGTCGAGAAAGGCTGCTGACGATCCGCAGCCGGTGAAGAAGAACAAGTGTCAAAGAAGTGTGTGTGACTGGACGCGAATATCCTGTCGCAACCGGCGCGTTGCGTTGCTACCCTGCCTTCCTGAACATGCATGAGCACACACGATCTTACCTTATCTTTAAGGGAAATAAGGTAGACTTTACCCGTTGCCGTTGCCGTCGCCTACCCCGTGAGAGAGGGTGTGCGAAAACGGTAAGCCGGTGAAGATAGTGACAGGCGGGAGTAATAAGACCCAAGATAACTCAAATATGGCAGCAGCAGGCAGAGCCCACATTGTGGCCCAGCAAGCCGCAGTGGATGCTGCCCGAATGGTCGAGTTCCATTGGATTGGATCCAACACGAAGTTGTTAGGTCGTTGGTGGGAAGCGGAAGCGGAACGATGGTGAAAAGAGGGCTGATGGTGCGGTGCTGCACCTGCACCATCCTTGAACCGGCTTTTGGCAGTTGGACTTGGAAGTGAGCAGCGGAGCGGAGGTGGGCTGCGCTTGCTTTGCTAGCTGCCGCAGTCCGGGTGACCCCTTCCTTCTGCCTTCCCTGCCGGCTTCCCTTTCCCTCTCGTCCCTCATTCTCGCTCTGCCTTCTCTCCTTCTCACTTCTTTTTGGTCTGGTTTCCCTTCCCTTAACCTCCATTCACTCATTCTCCATTACCGGAGGGAAGCCATTCCAAAGTAAACCCAGTCGCTCACTCACTTGCCGTCGGATCGCCGAACTCAGCACCGTTTCTGTCACTCTATATGCTCTATATTCTCTAATCAGGCTACGCATCGCATTGAATTAGGGCAGGTTATCGAGGGAGCTATCAACGTGCCGATATCCTTCTCCAGACGCCACCGGCCGACCCGGCACATCGACTTCCGTTGAGCTTCTACCTCGCCAGCGGGAACGACCATCAAGGCTGTCTCGACTTCGACCTCAATCGAATCGACCTTGGCTTGCCAGACCATCCTAACACACGATCACCAGGCTGAAAGCCTTGTCTCGCCCATCATGTCGTACAATCACCACCCGTCAGACTCTCTATCCAACGCCGCCTACCCTTCCGATTCCTCCTACACACCAGGCCAATCCCAAAACCACCACCCCTCAGACTCACTCGCCAATGCCGCCTACCCTCAAGACTCCTCCTACCGTCCGTCCGCTCCGACGTCCCACCCAGACGATAAGCTCGCCATGCCCGAAGCCCGCTACTCCCAATCATTCAACACCGCCGCTATCGGCGCCGGCAGCAGACAAGCACCGACCGCCCCGTATCCCCAGTACCCCTCGAACGCCGCTCAGTCCCCGGCCTGGGTCCCGTCGCCGACGCACGATCCTCTGATGGGGCCGTATTCGCCTGCTCGCGGCCCGGGCGTCCAGCCCTGGAGTCCCGATGGCATGTCCGCCGCGAACCCGAATCTGCCGCCCCCGCCGCCGTATGACCCTGCGAGACCGGGCACCGGGGCCACAGGAACGAGCACGCCGAGGGAGCCGAACTCGCCGCACCCGAGTGAAACAGCGCTTTTGGGTCAGCATCAACAACAACAGCAGCAGCAGCAGCAGCAGCAGCAGCAGCCCCAGATTCATCAGAATGCGGCGATGCCCGCGCAGCCCCAGAGCCCTTACACGCCGCAGCAGCAGACGCCAGTCCCGGCCGCAGCGCACATCGCGGAACCACCAACACAAAATGGCGAACAGCCTAGAGCGTACCTTCAGTCCATGACGGGCGGCATGCCTGCGTACGGAAACAACCCCGGCGGACTCGGGCCGGTAGCGAAGGAGAGGAAGAGGAAGAAGCAGAAGCTCGCTATTCTAGCGGCGGTCCTGTGCGCCGTATTGCTGTTCCTGATAGCGTTGATTGTCGGCGTGCTGGTTGGTGTTGTCAAGGTTGGCAGGGATGAGAAGCCGCCTCCGCCAGGCCCGCCAGGGTTCTAAACGGAATACCAGCAGGAGACGGCTTCATTTCGAGAATCGGTGCGTCCGGGCGGAATACATCGGTTCCGAGATCGAACCCATGGCGTTTATTCTTACGGATCCGTCGGGTTGGCGGGTCCGGCATTACTTCACCAATACCCCGTTGACATACTTCACTTCTTTTCTTCTTTGTCTTCATACCGCCCACAGCTTCTTTGAAAAGTTTTCTTGCCATTGGTTTGAGCGTTGCCGAGGAGAGGGGCGGGAGAGCGACGTTTAATGTTTGTTCAGCCTAGGGACGGAGTATGGGAGGGCCTTGCGCGAGTGGGTGTCAGAGGGTACATACATACACATAACATGGCGAGGCGCGGTCACATTATAGACGATGGTTAGAGCCGCGAGAGCGGGCTACGAGATTGGAATGAAACGAAGCGTCTGTTGTTCACATGGCTTCTTATATATTATGCTGTTCAAACCGGTTCGATAGTGCGAGAAGTGTTAGCCTAATTCCGTCTATTGGAATGTAGGCAGGTATTGTCTTCCGCAAATCCCTGGCGCAAGTCACCAATGTCCATCACCGGGATGAAGCTTAGGTGAAGTCATGCCAAACGTCCTCGGTGTTATTGTAACAGAATACGTGCCGGACAGCGTTTGGAAGCAGGGAATGAGATGACGAATGTCACGTTGGGCGAGCCTCAATCATCCAACACGTACTCAAACTCCGGCGTCAACGCGTCAGCTAGCAATTTCCTGCACGAACACCAGTTTCGCGCAGACCGCATTGTTGCAAAGACCCATCATCAGACAAGACGAGTCCAACGTTTATATACCCTTACAAGCCGCGGCCTCGAACGTCCGGGTGTTATCTCGAGGACCGGGTATAAAAGATCGTGTGAGGGGAGAGGAAGAGAGACAGGGCAATCTAGAGAACCCTACTTCTCAGAGTGCAGCTTTTTTGGCCTGTGGCTGGGTCTTGAGAGATGGGGTAGTTACGTGTGAGTGAGGACTCGGGTGTTCTGGCTCGGGAGTCGAATTGGTGAGAAACGACGATGTCTTCTGTCAGTCATGGTTGTTGTCTGTTTATCGCATTCGCTGAATATACACTTCTAGATTAGACCGGTTTGCCCGTCTATCGGTCTAATCGGTCCCTCGATTGGAAAGAAGTGCACTTGAGGCATTAGGTACCAAAGGACCGGAAAGCTGTTACTTTTCATTCCCCGGGATCGAAGGATGCAGACCAGACAGTACTGATCTTGTGTGACTCTTGACGACGACGGTGTTGTCGTTTTCTTATATACCCTTGGCTGCCTCTCCGTTTTGGATAACAGCGGAGACAGGATGGATCTATCAGGATGAGTGTGAAGTGTCTCGAGCTTTCACAGCCGCGGGCACACCTCAGACTGATGGGCCGAGAATTACGAGTTTGCCGGGTGTTTCCAAGACGAGTTGGCTGGAATGGGAGTGCCTCCAGCTCTGATGCGGATCGATTCCTTCTGTGCGAGTATATATTTCTTACGTGGTAAACTCTCTTCGACCTGTATCGCAAAGGCATTATGTCCGCTTCCGATATCTTGGTTTCTGATCCTAGTCCGCTTGAAGTGTTTCGGGCAGAACGGAAGGTCGAATGAACACCCCTCGTCAAGCATCTGTTATGATGCACACAATTCGTCACTTTCTGTTCTTTATCTCTATTATTGGTGGTTTATACTCTGCGGGTTACGTCCTCGCTGGCTCCTTCGTGGTCGTCTAGCCCTGCTTTCTGGTTGAAGTTGTCGGGGGTTGAGCAATGTGCTTGAGATACTACGAGCACGCAACAATACCTTTGTATCGGGATTCCCAAGCGAATGTTCGATAACAACATGACATTTGGGTTGGATGCTGGTCTCGATAGTTGCTTGCATGACGTTTTATAGGTAACGATAGGGCTTCAGACCGGTCTGGATAGAGGTCGCTCGAAGGCGGTGGGGAGGGGGTCTTGAAAACTTCATGAATTGGTCACCCATCCCAAGTCATTGGCATTGCATTCACCATTACTGACATGATCGGGAAATAAACGGCAGTTATATCATCTGTCTCTCATGTGACTTCCTATGAACCCCGGGCCTAGGCTACTTAAGCTATGTTACTTCGCCCTCCTCACTTCCGAGAGCAGAAATCTTTGGGTAGGCGATCGTATCTGATTGAAAGAGACATGCCACATAACCAGTTACGGTCTTTCTTTCGGGTTTCTTAGAATGTGGCTTGTCATCCTGTCATCGGGAGGTCAAGACACTCTCCTCCGTCGTCGGTGTCGGTTCCTTCTTCGTGCAAGGGGCTCGGGCTCTCATGTTCCTTGTCACGGACGACTGGGCTCCTCTCACGGAACTCATCCACATGTGGGCTGTGATTTAGGATATAAAAGGAGGTTCTCTGGTGGCTGACAACGAGAAAAACCACGGTAAAACTTGCCGCTGCTTGGTGGCGAATGCATTGAACGGCCAGGTAGCCATAGATGAACCGACCCTTAAGACCTGTCGCTGGGTCATGGCACCTCGGTCAGCTTATAGACTTGTCCAGATCTCCACTCCACGTGCGTCTTCGTCATTGTCTTTCATAGTCCGTTTATTGTACTGGAACGTACAAAAGAAAGAAAGCAGCGAAACTGAAGTTTAAAAGTTAGCTTCCCCCTCCCGACGTGACCAAGGACACAGGCGACGAGGATTGCAGGCTGATGGGTCCCCGAATTTCTCTCACCCCAGGGCCTGTGGCTTGTCGGTATAGGATCTCTGAGACTGCCCAATTGGCCAGCCAAGGTAGGGCTCTTATAAGGCCCAGGTCGTTAAGGGTCAGTGACGCCGCTGTTTCCTCCCGCGTGCTCAGACTCCCAAGATCGGACGGACAAGACATTTGTGAATATATAATGCGGCGTTATAGGATATTCTAAATGTCAGAGATGAATCCGAATGCGCGACTGAATGTCGACTCACGCCAATCTCGCTCAGAACCAGTACGGCAGACTCTCCCTCGTCCATGTGTCGAGAACTCTCTGCGGCGCCATGAAGTAGGTCACTATCGCATCCCGTGCAATTCTACAGCACGCCTGCATTCGGTCCTCGGTGTCTGTCATCCGTGCCGGTCAAGTATTCGTGCAGTCTCCTGCACAGTTCACGATCGGAATCGGGATCGGGATCGGGATCGGGAAGCATACATGACATTCGCCACACTTGATTCAAGACTTACACCAGATGGATACGAAAAAGGCGGAAAGGTCCAGGAAGAGCCGGGAAAGAAGCACACTGGATCTCCCGGCACAACATGCCATCATCGTCCTACTTATACCGGGCGCCATCCACTCAAAGCATTTGAGCTATTCACGCGGCAGGTGTTACCGTGTTAGTGTCTGGAACCCCTCCATGGCTTGTTTTGCGCGTCCATTTTAGACACCGACCTTTCTTATCAATGATTGAAAACTCGTTTCCGAGTATTCTCTTCAGACGAACTATGGGGATTCTTTCTCAGACACCTTAAAACGAGGCTTTCTGAGTGAACTCGTAGGACGAGCTGTCTGCATGTGTCTTCAAGGTAACAGGATTCGCCGGGCTCACTTAGGCCATGCGTGTTCACGACCAACCACCACAATGCCAGCCAAACAGCTGAGGAGAATGCGAGATCTAGAGAATGAGCCAAATCAAGGACACGGATGCAGTTGAATAAACACATCGAGACATAGCGCCCTATCTCGACGTCACTAATCGGCTGGCCGAGCGGTATAAAGACCAACGGCCAGTGCCAGAAAACTCTCGATCTGTAGTGACGCATCAGTGAGCTTTGCAGACCATTGGAACCACATCTTTCAAACTGTGCTGGGCGTCTTATCAAAATGCGCATCTGGTACGAGGCAACAAATTTGCTTACCTACTGCTACTCGTGTTTGCTCCAACGCGATACGTCAAAGCCCGCCATCACCTCGTCCTTCGTCTCAGTGGTCGTTCTGGTATACGGGAGTATTCTAGAGTAGAACAAGTCGTTATGATTGCACTTGCAGGCATTTGACAAAGCTGTACAGTCTTTAGACCATCATGTCTTCAGACTTATATTACAAACAGAGCAGCGAGAAACCAGAAGACATCGTAATCAGTTGTGAACCCCCAAGAGCAAATGATACAAGTCTTGATCTTTTATACTAGCATCAAAACAACGCAATCATGAAGTTCTAAATCAAACAGGCAGGATTCCGAAGAGTCGAGCGTTCATGCTGTCGTCCGCCACATCAACAGCCCACAGTCTTCAGAGCCAGCAACACCATCCCGGAAGTAATTGTTTATAAGCAATGCAAGAATAGCAGCTCGAATGAGCTCCTTTAATGGTCTTCTCGAAGAAGGTATTTGGCTTTTTCAGTTACAAGTGGAAGCCAACTCCGATGTCTTCTTGTGCTCCTGGCACTGCCAACGATGAACCCGCAGACCGTCGGAATGAACGACGCCCTTGGATTCGTCGGCGGTGTTTTTCTTTGTTCGTAAGATATTCAGAGCATAATAACGCGATATTGTCTATCATGGCGGCGCAGAAGAAGCATTCATTTCATCACGTGCCCAGCCCGCGACGGTCACCAACCATTGATGACACCAACTTGATAGCCTTGGCCTGTCTGCACCAGAGAAGGTTGCAAGCTGACGGCACAAGCACTAGTACCATGAGTGAAAAGAAGTATCGAGCTGATCGTTATCTCTTAATATCTGACTTAATACCTCAGTCTGGCTACGTCTAACCTGCGGGCTTCGCACGCGTTCTGCTCTTCATGAACCAAATCCATGTGTATATATTTCGGAGCCCTGCTTTGTAATGCGAAGATCAGTGTATTTGAATACTCCCGGGTCATTAAAAGTGCCACCCTCATGCCACTTAAAGCTTATGTTCAGGTCCTGGTCAGTCAGTGAGTTGGGAAAATCCAGGGGTGACCATCCAAGACGAAGAGCATACGTTTCCCGTCGTCTCTCATCCCTTCTACCTTATTTCGCCCTGAATTCTTCATAAACGAAGACGACACTCCCCAAAACGAGGTCCGTATACATCTATTCGGACGCCGCCAGATAGGGGATGATGTGCGTTGGCTTCATGCTTTCTGTGTTAGCGTCACCGAGTCAACAGAACATTCAGCAACCACGGGACAAACGCCGTAGATTCAGTGTTCTGTCAAATGAAGGTGCTCTTAAAGTTCCATTTATTTGGGTCCGCCAATTTAAGTACTACCCGATGGTCATACGCGGACGAGGGGGCATGAATCTACCGTGGCCAAACTTTCACAACGTTCGCCGGCACAAGTCCGGGGTCTGGGACACCCCAAACGATCAAACAAGCCACAATCTTCTCCAGCGACGCTCCATCGAAGGCCTCCTTTGCGTACCTGATTTGTCTTTTCTGGCCACCGTTCTTTGCGGATCATGCGGAGCGTGTTGGAGTGCCCACTCTGGGAATTGAGTAGCACAGTCTTAAAAGGCAATTGTGGTCTCCTGAAGATCGCAGCACGGTCTCGACGAAGATTCCCCATCTATCGACAGACCTACAGATATGTTTCCGAACTATCCAAGTACAATACACGAAGATCTACGACGACATCGGACAGAAAGCGTCACATAAGATTCTCACCCTTCAGCAGCAAACGAACCGCAGCCCCATATGCCTGCCAGGGAGATATCCTTCTTGACCACGAACGACAGATAGCTAAATGTCATCCTGGCCACGATTTTTCCAATAATTTCGAGCATGAGCTTCGGGAAACGTTTGCTGGCCGGAAGACATCGCGATCGATCGGCCCTCATAGTTGTAACTTTTATAGCTCAAGATAAACGCTCGATGGAAGAATGGGAGTGGTCTAAGACTCCTGAAGCTGGACTCCAATCCGTATCGATATATCAGCGATTCACCCGCCACCAGGGAGCAGACACTGGCGAGGTATATAATTCGATCTTCTTGGCATGAATGTCATGTTCGACCAAACATCTTGGGACCTGGAGTTTCTGTTTCCATACCTTTCATCCCGAAGGCTCTGTCGCTTCTGCGCGAGTTGTAGGTATTGGCATGTAACCGAACTCGACCACGCCTCCTGCCTCTCGCCTCCCATCACTGCCGCCGCCCAAGAATACGTGACGGTAATAAACGCCAGCGGAACATAGATACCTGACGAACAATCGAATCATCGGGCATCCCCGGATACAGCACCTGATGTCTCCACCGGCCTGTCCGGCTCGTTGGGAACAGACAGCTGCAGGATAGTTGACTGGTACCCGTATCAATCTTACGACTCATCTGTGCCTCTTCAACTGTGCCCGGCTGGATCAAATGACCAATATATAGGTGGGAAACAACATTCGTTAGTCAGGTTTCCGATCCTCCAGGGACTGAATTGATAACAGAGGCTGAAGACTTCGTGGAACAGAACGGGCTGAGCCAGAGTACCCAGATCACAATTGATGCGACGAATGACAGTGATTGATATTTAAACACGAAAATACGAGGGTTTTTGGGAGCTTTCATCGAGGAGCAACTCAATTGCAGCCCAATCGACAGGCGTTGTCGATGATACTGTCCTATTGGATCTGGGGTTGCAGCTACCGAAAGCCATTCCCCTAGCGTTTCTAGGCATTCGTCAATAGACCACGATTGTTGTCTCGAATGGGTCTCATAGGTTGAGTTATCGCACAGCATGGATAGGCCGGGGAAGATGACAAGAGATGCAGGACAAGATGACCATGTCACCGTAACTACCGGTCCGAAAAGCCTCATAGGATGACGGAACATACCCTGACCCTTCGATCTCGAAGTCAAAAGATGGAAGATCATTCAACAGATCCAATACGGGTGAAGGAATGCGCACAGTTGTTCGATGTTCTGGAGAACCCAGCACTGTAATCACCTATTTATACCATCATTCTTTGACTTCTTACTCACCCCTTCGAGCTACTGAACGGCGTAGCCTAAGTGGCATTCAAGCATAAGGGCAACCCCAACATGTACCGGTGAAAATGTGTGATGTACGCCGACTCCAATGTTCTCGTGAGAATGAGGCCTTGCTATGACTGAAGACCTCTCGAAGCCAAATTCCTGGTATGAGAAGCCTTGTCGTCGAAACGGCCATGATTCGGCGTAAGAAGCGGATGATACCTGAAAGAGTTCGTATCATCACCACTCCATTCAAAAGGTATATGAAGAAGACCCGAAAGACCCCGGCATCTAGGTCAGCCAAGATCGGACGTTACGAGAGAAAGGTTGTCGTTGGACTCGCATGTACCAGTGGATCCGAGGACTCCAGAGTTCAATAGTACCTAGCGGTCATGACTACATACTCAGAGACCGCGGTATCAGCGAAGGTAGTAAACCGGCGCTGGGTTGAGTATACATACAGCCATACATAGAAGACATCACCACCAGACACCGAGGACTATTGATACTCACTTGGGCAACATATCAACCCACCCCCATTCATTCTCAGCCCCGGCGAGGCAGACGTCGTGCAAATGATGAATGCCGCATCAAAAAACGCCCAAGAAACCTCGCTGTGGGCCAATGTGACATACCGGTACATATCGACCGCCACGATGGTGTTTATATACAACCCAACCCCAAACACAACCCCCACGAGAACGAGACTCTTGTGCCTGAGTACCACAGCAGCACTCCACATCCCATATAAAAATCCCACTTCACAATCCATTCCAAACTCCTTTCCCATCGCCATGCATTGTATCCGTAAATTCTGTCTGTCTTCAACGGTAAACGAAAGAACCAGCCTATACCCCTAGCGTCAGGTCATCCCCCGCGCCCGCCCCTTCTCGTTCCGGGGACACACACCGACCCCGACGTCCATCGAATACGCAACATAACACACCAAGAATGACACCGAAAGAAACTGCCAGAAGCCAGTGATACAAAGTCCGACTATTTGAGGCCCATCGTGGACTTACACCGTGCTGCGCGTTCCACAGGAACGCTAGGATCGGGTGGTGATGAGACTATCCCTGATTCGCAACAATAACAACAGGCACCATATCGGCTCTACATCGGGGGTCTGGTGCTTCCGTACGTTCTGAACCATATATACATGCAATCTATACATGTACGTAGCAACGAAGTCCGTCGTGGCTTTACCTCCGGAGCTTGACTCCTTCCCACAGGGCAACCACCCATCACCAATCACATATACGCAAGAAATCGCGGTTGATCATGATGAATGTGCGGGCAAACCGTGTATGTGTGTGTATGCTCACATCTAGAAAACAAACCGGGTGTGAGAAGACCACGACTAGGACCGCATCCCGGACCGAGGCTGCAACGCCATTTCGATCACCAACACGTACCAAACGAAAGAGGAAGGGGCATTGAGAAATGGTTTAGGAGGCCTCTCTGGCAAGAGAAACGCTACGACAGCTAAGCAATCCAGCCTTTCGCTCCAATGATCACGCTCTGCAAAATCCAGTCATGTCACCGAGGGTATCTCACCTCGGGAGAGACAGGCGCGATCATCTAACCTAATGAAGCACCAACAGCGAACGGCCCGGGAAGTGGGGGGAGTGTGACCTAAGATCATCGAACCGCGCAAGCAAAAAAATCGGTCACGTAATAACCGGGAAAGGCAGGGAGCGAATATGAATCTCATAAGCGGGCAGAGAGAAAGAAGGGGTCAGCATCGGCCCGGACCGATGCCCCGAGTTGGGTGAGGGTGTTGTTGGGCGCCGGGCTGCTCGGCTCCGAGACCCCAGGCCATGAGGTGATGTCGAGAAGAGGTCGTCGCATTCAAATCCACACAAGTAACGCCAGTTAGGGTTGCATCGGTCACATGCCTCGGCATCACGGTTCAGATCAGATCTCAGAATGCCTCTCCCCTGCTTCTTTCGTCTCGAATGAGGCCAACAAATGCCATCAATTTGCTCTCGCGCGGGCTCGGTAAAGTCATCAAAAAACCTCGCCGAGGGCCGTGGCTGGCTGCTGACCAAAACGTCGCTGCAACCTCTCTCTCTCTCTGTAGGAACACCATGTATCCGGCGCGAACCAATGTTTTCCTAACGCCAAGCCTGTGGGTTGTAATCCCTACCGGAATCTGTTTTTGTTTGTTCTTGAAACTCCAGTCCCGCCCCCAGTGTTTTGTTTTGTCTCTGTCCCTAGGTGTGATGATGAAGAAGAAGTAAAAAGAAAAGCCAAGTGAGCTATGTGGGTAATGGTTCTTTGTCCAAAAATCGTGCCATCATGAAAGAAAACGGGTAAAAATGGTAAAATTGCAGAAATGAAACGACATGTCGTGAAAGTCTTGCTTGCAGGCCCTGATATCTTACTTCTGCAATGCTTCGAAAAGAAGAAAATAAGGCGCGCCTCTGATGCTGTCGCTCGGCTGAAGCCAATGAAAATCAAAACGAAGTCGTCAAGCGTACAAAAGGCCGTGTCGAGGTCTGGAAATGAGAAGGACGAAAAGCCAGGAAGCCGAATGATATCGAAATCGGGAGACCGGGTTTGGCGAAGGAAGCGGAGGGAGGCGCGTCGCCTTCATCCAAACCCACAGATACATCCCGATTGTTGAGATTTTGCCTCTCTTCTTACGCCAAAAAGTGAAATGACTCGAATTCGCTGTCGTCGAATGTACTGTCGCTTAGGTGCCATGTTACGTACGCGGAAGCGGAATGGAGAAGTAATCGTTCGCGCACCCTCATCATGTCGCTGGAATCCATGGTCGTTGGCTGTTTGAAAAACGTTCACAGGATAACGCATCGGTGGCCATCGGCGCGTCTCCTTCTCCGATGTTTTCTTTTGGCGAAGCCCATGATTCCTGCGTTCTTTTCGTTCTCGTGGTCTTCGTCGTCTTGTACGGCCTGAGCCTGAATCTTTTCGTCCTTCAGTAGCAATTGCCGGCAGATGTCAATGAAGACGGCGTCGACGTTGGCTGCAAAATAGTCAGTACTGGCCCGAGTCAACCCAGCCGGTCGACGGTGGAACGGTGACGTACTTCGCGTCCTTGCACTTGTCTCATAATATGGGGCATCCCACATTTGAGAGCAGGCGAAAGCCCTCTGTCTGGGTACGGAACGCTGCTCCTCCAGGTCGGCTTTGTTGCCGACAATGACGATGGGAACGTTGTCGTCGTCCTTGATGCGTGTGATTTCCTCTCGCAGCATCTCAATCTCATTCATTGATGATGAGGATGTGATGCTGAAGACTAGGATGAATCCCTGACCTGACTTCATGTACAGATCTCTCATGGCGACTGCTCCGATGTTAGATGTGGGACACTGAGAAATGGAAGATAAACGCACCAAACTGTTCTGTGCCTGCCGTGTCAAGACTGGCTCAACTGTTAGAGGCCGCATCTCACAGATTCGACAGCGTTTTTACTCACATTTCCAAGACAACTTGGCGTCCCTGGGTTTGGCCAAGTCAGTCACTCGTCGGAGCAAGTCATACTTGATTGATTCAACTCACATCAACTTGAAGCTGTGTCCGATACGTATCCTCAATGGTGGGATCGTAGCTCTCAATCCACTCATTGTGGACGAATTGGGCTACAAAACTGTGTCAGTGACGGCTTCCAAGGGTTAATGGCCAGTACGTGGGATGCTCACCTGTTAAGCAGCTCTTTCCAACACCTCCTGGAGAGATTGTCAGAGAGGGATATGTGATGGGCGTATTTCTGGGAGCAGCTTACCAGCACCCAATACGACGACGTGGAGTTCACGACTGCGGAGATGATCAGCTTGCATTCCTCGGCTCCGGCGGGGTTGAAAAGGGCGAAAAGCGTACCATGATTGATAGTGCCTGTTGTGGCGCGACATGATGACTTGTGTGACTGTGATTTCGCAACAATCTTTGGAAAGTAGGCCAGTGCCGTCGTTTGAAGACTCGAAGCGAGAAACGAAAGGTGCTCCGAGGATCTTTTACAAGTCGTCCCTGGTGGTTGAAGGATCGCCGGGCTGGTGGTGAATTCGCAATTGGCGCGTCATGCGGCAAGGTCGTCGCAAAGGTTAAATAGATTGCGGACAAATGGTAGAAAAGCAAAGGTATGGCGGAGTCGTGGTGAGGTCCGACGAGGGCCGAAATCGAGGCCGATTACAAGGCGTCGGCTGTGATAGGAATTGCCGTGCAAATCTCTCTGAATTGGGCGAGAGCGATTTGCTGACCACAGCAATAGACGCAGCGAGAGATGCAACAAGGTACCCGAAGTGGACGAGGGAGGATGGCGGGGGGCCCCGAATGCAATTGTAGTTGAAGGCGCAGAGGGTCGAACTTTGAAGGACGGGGGCTCGGGTCAGGGAGCTCTGGGTCTGGCCCGTCCGAATTGATTGGAATAGTGGGGATGAAGGAGGGGTGCTAAAGGGGGGGTTGACGGGGAACGGGGGACGAGCAGAATGCAAATGCAAAGTGCAGACGCAGATGCAGATGCACGGGGGAGGGAACAGGTAAGGTAGGTCCAACGACGGGACTCTGTCTGGTGGGAAAGCAACGAAGAATAAAAAAGAATGGCTCTCCGTCAGAGTTCGTTCCTAGCGAGAGGCTCTGCCCAATAACGTAAGGTAGCGAGCGGCGGTAGGTCCGTTGGGAGCAGGCAATGCTAATGCTGGAGAGAGGAGGCAACTTTGGCTTGTCGTTCTTGTCTGCAAGGGCCTCGTAGCCAGGGTGCAGTGCGCTAAGTAGCTGAGGCAAAGTTGAAGGACCTCCTCAGGGCACCTCACCTCGCCTTCTCGTTGATAGCGGTAGCGGCTAGCCGGTGAGGTTACCGCAGGTGAGAGACTTTGCCGCAGCAGGTTGCCTTGGGGGTGGTGCTAGTGCCGGTGCTGGAGTCGTAAGTATGTAGGTACGTACTCAACTGCTCCCAGGTCTAGGGGACGTGAGCTGGAGGGGCGTGAGGAGGCGAAGAATCAATGGCCAAGCTGAACCGGGAGGATAATGCAAAGGATAGGTAACCTTTGGAACCAAGCTGAAGGAAGGATCCAGGAGGGTGGGGGTATCACAAGGCAAGGAGGTCAGTGATTGTCAGATGCAGTCGTCACTCTGACTGCCTCTCTTCTGGATGCTCGATGCGCTATGCGTTGCGTTGCCAGTGTTGCCGCTGCCCTATGGTGCGTCCATGTAAACAAGTAACGACCCCGGAGAAAGCCAGGCGACGGCGATAAACCGTTGGTTGGGTGGTGGTTGGCCGGTTGTGGCTGTCGTCCTGGAGGCCTGGGGCAAGACAATGGAGAGGTTGATCTGATCCGATACCTTACTTGAGGTCAGCTAAGGTTATTTCCGTTTGCCGGCTGCCGGACTCAACGACATTGGCTGGCCCAAAATAGACACGATGGAAAAAAGCAACAGAGGGCAGCTGAGGTAAAAGTTGGTCAAATGACAACTGGAAGCCCAGCCGGTAGCATCGAGGAGAAGGAAAGAAGCTCAATGCCAACCAGCCAAGGTTTGGGCTTTGGACAAGCAAGGCGAGCCGGCGGGATTGAGGAAGAAGTCATCGAATTGATGATGGGGTTGGTGGTCGCACGCGCTGAGACACAGCCGCCGGATGACATACCGTGACAAGGGACAAGGCAAGGAGTCGTGCTTGTTTGGCGGGGAAACGAACAAGAGCAAACGAGATGCTCGCCAGGGCTGAGAGGCGAGGAGGCGAGATGTGGCGGCGGGACAGGGCGAAGGCACAGGCGAAGGCGAGGGCGAGGGCGAGGGTGGATGCGATGTGCTGATGTCTGCTGTAAGGTATGTAGGTACGCGTAGGGTGATGGGATGCGATGCTATGCGATGCGATGTAGGTGACGAATGTGACTGGCGATGACAGGCGGGGGGATTGGATGAAGAAACGACGGGAGAGAAAGTGATTTTCGATAATGATGACGAGACGAGACGAGACGGGGAGAGAAGCAGGAGGCGGCTAGCACGGAGAGGAGGAGAGCGAGAGCGAGTTGGGAGTTTGAGGAAGAGTTGTCGGCGCAAATGTCTCGCAGCTTGGATGCTGGACTGTCTCGAAATAACGGAGAGGCTGACGCTACTGTCGGACGCTTGAGTGGTAGCTCCAACGTCGTCGGTGGCCCCAAGCTATTTAGGGCAGAGGGCAGGAGACGGGTCTCAGGCTATTTTGTGTAAAGAGCATTGCACAAAGGAATAAGGTGAGGTTTGGATGTTGGCGGGCCATTGGCGGTTTGTCAAGACGGCGGTGGTGTTTGAGAGTGGACGGTTCTGTTGGTGATGATCCGGGGGGGCCATCCCGTCCTCGTACCGTACCCGTCCGTACTTTTGACTGAACGAAGTTTGTACTTTGTACAGTCTGCACCCCTCCGCACTCCAAGCTTTTTATTTCTTCCTTCTTTCCCGAAATGGCATGCAGCCCTTGGTGTCTTGCCGTCCGAAAGTTGAGCCAAGATGCAGTTGATATGCCTCCGATTGACAGGTTGGGTTCCAATTGGCGGCCAGCAGTAACACCCCAACATCTCGTCATCGAATGGCATTTGATGGGGCCGGCATCATCCCGCTTAGACGGGATTCTGGTGTATTTGAGGAAGGTCCAGCGGGATGAGGTGCTCTGCACTCAGGCTTGGTCTCTTTCGGTTCCTCAGTCTGTAACAGAGACAGCGGGAAGGCCAGTCCAGGAGTTGGTAGGTGTTCGTATTCTGTATTCTGTACTCCGTATGGGTAGATAGCCACGTTGCTGACGGACTAGAAAGCTTGGGTATGGCGGTAGTGCCCGGGCGCGCTGTGGCCTTCTCGTGGATGCGAGCGTGAGATGTAAGCATGGCATGGCCACCTCACCAATAGGATGTTTTTCCTGCGGGTGAAGAGTCAGTTCAGAGTTCCTCGGTACTTTTCAGAGTAAAGGTACAACGTGATACCCAGGTAGGTAAGGTAGGTAGATGGAGATGGAGAAGACGATACCTTCAACTGTGATAGTAGACCAGTAAGAGGCTAAGGTACTTCGTAGAGGAGTTTAGCGAGTCAGGCTGCCGTCTACCCATCTGGCTGCAGCGCGCTGCGCACGAGCAGCTCCTGCATGGGCGGTGGAGCGGTTTCTCAACCGTCCCATGTGGTAAGGTGCCTCCGACCATGTACGACCATGGGTTGCAGTGGGCTCGCGGTGGGCAGTCAGTGGACTCTCCAACCTCTCAGGTGTTGAGGTCGATGCTCTCGAGCCTTTTGACAGGAGAAGAGGTGGATTTCAGGTCGCAGTGGATGCCGAGGAATCATGTTTTAGCGCGCTCCTGATGTTTCTGTTTCTCTCCAGCTGCAGGTGCATGTGCAGGTGCAGGGCCAGTCCGACAGGGCAAGGCCAGGCAGAGGAAGAAATGGCAGGGCAGGGGCTGGAGACACGGTGGAATGCCTCACCTCGTGGTTCGTCCCCGGTGGTTTTTTTCCGTGGTAGACGGAAGAGGAGATGTTTTGAAGTCGAATGAGTCTTCATTATTTTCACTTCGAGTCTGCGTCGTTGAATCGAGTGGATACCTTAGCTCCTCAATCCGAGATGCCAATGGAAAGGAGAGGCAGGAACGCCACGACCTCGCTTGCATCTTGCGGGCAATCACAGTCAACCGCTCCTGCCTTCAATCTGACATATACCTAGACTGAGATGCTCCTTCCTCAATCTCTAACTTTACACTCGGCCGAATACCTCCTGCCCAGGCCGTATCCCGTAAAGTATCCATAAAATACGTACCTCGACGCTTACCGGCACATGGCAGGCAAGAGTCGCCTTCCTGTCCGCAATCTTTCTCAGTCCCTTCCTCCCAGTTTCCACTGGTGCTCCTTCCAGCGTGCGTATCAGACTTTCATATCTCATCATCTTCCACTTCAGTATCTTCACTCACAGAGTAAAAAAGGTGCCTACGGACATTTTAGCTCGCACTTTCTCCTGCTTCCTGCATCGAATCCTTCCTTCAATTCAGGGACTAAATGCACAGCCGCACTCCAAGCAATGCACCTTGCTTGCGGGTGCATCTGCAATGCACAATGAACCTGGAATCGAAACCTGCATTTGTACCTTACCTAAGACCCTTCTTCCTCCTCACGTACGTATACCAACCTTACAATTCTGCTACGAGTCTATCCCTACCTTACTCTGCACCGAGTTGACGTCCTCTCGCTCTCGATCCACATCGACTATCGCCTTCCAATACAGCCTGTCCATGTCAGCCCAGGGCAGGCCATCATGCACTTCATCGAGACACGACACCCTGATGCTCTGTGTCTTGCCGACTGGGCCGCCCAGCCCACGAGTATGAGGGGTTTGTCGTCTCCGACTCTTCAACTTCTTCCATATTTCCCGATTCGTTTCCAACCTATCTTCCAAACGTCACCCGCAGCCCGTTCCTTCCTCCCCGGACCCCGGTCAATCAGAGATTGTCAACCATCTTCATGACTTGCCAAGCCATCCCCCAGTATCACCGAGAACACGTCCATCTACCGACGACTCTGTACGGATACACACAAACACTTTCTGTAAATCAGAACCACGGATATCCCCATCTCCACGAATTAATCGGAACCAAGCCAGTCTCCAACGGGCTCTCGGAACCGAAATCCAAGACATTCACGTCACTCGTTCCTTGACTGATTCATCCTCTTCCGGTCATTGGAACACTTCTCGCGGCCTGGCTGAACCTGAACCAACCACCTCCCCGCCTTAATTATCCCCGACTCACCACCGAACACTCCAAAGCAACCAACAAGCCAAGACATGGTCACCTTACGACCGCACTCTCCATTCGCCAATCGCAGCTCGTCATTCACTTCCACGATCGCATCCTCGTTGCGAAAATTCTGTCTCTTCTCAAATAGCCTGATATCAACACCTCTACAAGAG